TATCCCCATCCCTTTTTATATTTTATTTTGAGCCAGGGTCTCATTTAGTTGTTTAGGACTTCACTAAGTTGCTGAGGCTGGCCTTGAACTTTTGATCCTTCTGCCTCAGCCTCCAGAGCCGCTGGGATTATAGGCACGCATCACTATGTCCAGTGAGACATAAATTTCTATTATTTACAATTCAGTATTACAGCAACTTCTCCCACACTCTACAAAATGCATAGGGCCTGGCCTTTCCAGGTCTCAGGAATTGTTTCAGGACTGAGCATGTGACCTGCTTAGGGCAAAAGATAGAAGGAAAGTTGGATGAGAGATTTCCCGAAAAAGTGCTCCTGTTTTCATAAGAGAGTGTCGTGGAATAACCTCTTTTTTTGTCCTTCTGAACACTGCTGAGCTGCAGACCCCTTGCTACCAGCCTAGGGAGGCTATGCATAGAGAAGAGCAGGGTCAAGAGAACCACCCAGAAAGGAATCAGTTTCTAGACAGACCAATTTAGAAGCTCACAGCAGTCATCTGCTTGGGCTGCTGTGACAAAATTCCACCAAAGTTCAAGATCAGGGTGTCATCAGAAACAGTTCCTGGTGAGGCCTCGCTTCCTGGCTGGTACATGGCAGCCATCTTTCTCACTGTGGCCTCACATGATCTCTTCTCTGTGTGTGCATGCAGAAGGAGATCTCTGGAGTCTTATCCCCTTCTTATAAGGACACCGGTCCTATCTGATTAGGACTTCACCTTTATGACCTCATTTAACCTTAATCACCTCCTTAAAGGGCCCTTTCTCCAGCTATAGTCACACTGGGGATTAGGGCTTCAATATAAAAGAAAAAAAGTGGAGGATAATAATTCAGTCCATAAAATCCACCCTACCTCTTATCTTCCAGCTAAGTGAGCCAATGGACATCCTTTGGTTGAAGCCAGTTTGGGTTGGATTTTTGTTTCTGTTGTTTGGTTACTTTACAGGGTTTTACTCTGCTTCACAGCCCTGTGTGCCTAGCACAGAGCCCAAGTCACAGCTGTCAATAACTGTAGAGGGAACACACATTTGCCAATGTTCTTGTACTTGCAATGACAACCTCTCAGATGAGCTGCAAGCCTTCCTTTTTCCGTCTGCCCAACTTGAACTTCTAACGCCATCGCATGGAATTCATCTTCAGAAAATTCTCAGGCTCACCCCCCCAGCTTCCTACACATTTTGTGAGTCAGCTCTCCATCATGGTGAGAAAATTTCCTGAGAGGAAAGGTTTATTTGGGTTCGTGATTTCAGGGGTTTCGGTCCACGGTCACTTGGCCCTCTTGCTTTGGGCTGGTGGCAACCCAGCACATCGTGGTGGGAGTGTGTGAGGAGGAGATCTGTTCACTTTGCAGCAGCCAGGAAGCAAGCACAGATTGGGAGTGGGTGGATCCTAGTATGTCCTTCAAGGGCACACCCCCAGTGACCTAACCTCCCCACTCCAGGCCCTAACTCCTAAAGGGTCTACCACATCCTGATAGTGCTACAGGTGGGGGACCAAGCCTTTAACACTTGGCCTTTGGAGGCCTCTTATCCAAACCATAGCATTCAGGGAACTGAGGCTTCAGCTATAAAATAAGGGGATTGTTCTGGACACAGTCTGGCACACCTTCCAGCAAGAACAGCTAGGACCACCCAACTCCAAATCCCATGGCTCCATCTGAGGCCTCTTCCAAAGAAGCCCATCTGCCATTCAGAGTGAAGACCCCTCTAGAGCTAACCATGCACAGCCTCATGGGAGATCCCCCTGGGCTCCTCTTCTAAGTCCTGTGGCTCTGCAAAATCCCAAGATTCTATACTACTATGCTACATGAAAGGCTTTTTCTTGCGGCGGGGGTGGGGGGGTCTACTAGATCTCCTGCTTTAAGCACAGAGGAGAAAACCCTAGGAGAGCCTACACTGTCATGCTGTTGTTCTTCCAGATAAGACCAGAGGCTGGCCCTGCTGGGAAACAGACATACAGGGCCACTGTAAGGCTCAGACATCAGTCAGAGCCTACATCTGGGACACTCAGATTTCTGGTGCCCAGTGCTCAGCCATTCAGACTGCCATCACTAGGGACCAAGATGGCGGCATGCCAGTTCCACACACAATATTTCCTTCTTCTATCCATAAGGGCTCCACTTCCCTGCTCCCTTGTGCAGCCTGGGGAAGCATAGGAGGAAAGTCTGCCTCATCTTTTGAATGTGAAAGAATTAGCTCTCAAGGAGGCCACTAGTTAGTGGATGAGTTGCTCAGCCAGGGCTGCGGGAGTCCGGAGATGCTTCCTCTCGAGTCTGAATTGATTCCAAGCTCTCTTTTAGAGTTAATGCTTCCAGAAGAATTACTATGTGCTGAGCACTGTGCTCAGCACTCAACCTGTATTAGCTTATTTTATCTTCACAACACACTGTGGGTATGTATTATCACTGTTCCATTTTTTTTGTCGGGGAGGGTACCAGGGATTGAACTCAGGGGCACCCGATCACTGAGCCACATCTCAGCCCTATTTTGTATGTATTTAGAGTCAAGGTCTCACTGAGTTGCTTAGTGCCTTGCTTTTGCTGAGACTGGCTTTGAACTTGTGATCCTCCTGCCTCAGCCTTCCAAGCTGTTGGGATTACAGGCATGTGCCACTGTATCCTGCGCTATTCCCTTTTAAAGATGAGAAAATTGAGGCTTGGAGAAGTAAAACCGCTTGCTCAGAATTAGTGACAGAGCTGAACTGACCTCAGGCCTGAGAGCCACACCAGCCTGGATTCTTAACCAGAGCACTTGGTGTGAGGTCTTTGGAATTTGGTGGCTGCTCCTTGGGTTTTGTAACTTGGACAGGCATGGTGAGGCCCCAGCTCTGGGAAGTCAGTGCTGACAGGAAAAAGGACCAGAGAGAAACAGGCACTGAAGGACAAGGCCGGTGGAGACCAACAGGTAGTCCAGGTCAAGTTTATAAAGGGCAGTCAAGGTCTACTGAACCCAACCAGGGCTGGGTCAGGAAAGAGGCTTGGCCTAGGGCTAGGAGGAGGTCTTCTTCCTGAGGGAAGAGTGCTTTTCCACATTGGGAACCTTTTTACCTGCCCTCTACTCACCAGGAGCCCTGCAGCAGATGAGGGGTGGCCGTGGAAGCAGGAGGTGGCCTTGGGGAGGTGTGGGTCCCGATCGTTTGTCACTTCTGTTTCCTGCCTTTCTCTTTTCTGTTCGGCATTGTAGAGGGCAAATGACAAACGTCAGGCCCCCTTGCCAACTGGCTTTTGACTAGATTGACCCAGGAAGAGGTGCTAGAGGAAGATGGGGGCAGGAGAAAAGAGGTCTGGATATTTCTCCCCTTCCCCAGCCTTGGTGGCGTCTCTGGCTCTGGCTCCCACTGGGAAGCCCTACTCCAGAGCTTTTGACCCACCACCTCCTCCCTTTGTTTTTCCAGACATGGGGGTAGTGACAGTTTTCACTGCTGCGATCTCTGGATGCCAAGTGCCCAAGTGCCCTCTCAACATTCCCTCCATGGATCCTGGGCTCAGGTCTCCCAACGGCACCCTGCCTACCCCAGGCCAGCTGGGAATTGGGGCAGAGTCTCTCTGGGAAAGTGGCCTGAAACTCCCAAATGTGAGGGTGACCAGAAGCCCCATTCTAGTCACCAGTATGCGCCTAGGGTGCTAGGTTAGGTGACCATGAACAGAACTCTGCAGCCCAATGGATCTCAGACCAGGAGCCTTGGTGACAGGCAGGTCTGAGGCAGTAGAATGCCTTCCTGTCCGTCAGGATTCATCTGTCACTCACATTCTCCCAGCTTCCATAAGAATCCCGACTGGGCGGGGCACGGTGACACATGCCTGTAGTCCCAGCGGCTTGGGAGCCTGAGACAGGAGGATCTCAAATTCAAAGCCAAGCTCAGCAACTTAGCAAGGCCCTAAGTAACTCAAAGTAACCCGGTCTCTAAATACAATATAAAAAGGGCTAGGGACGTGGCTCGATGGCACCTCTGGGTTCAATCCCCGGTACCAAAAAAAGGATAAAAAGAATCCCAACTGAGCCACCACCTATCTATATGACCTCAGCAAGTTACTAAACCTTTCTGGATCTCAGTGTCCCCACCTGTGCTATAGGTAAAATAATGGTCACCCTCCCATGGTTGCTGGGTGGATGGAAGGAGACAGAGCTTGGCGCGTCCCCTGGAGAGCCAGTCAGTGGTGTCATTATTAACAACAATAGACTGGACAGCACCTGGGTCAAATGGTCTGCCTCTGAGGACCTTCAGAAAGCAGGGGCAGGGGACCAAAGGGGGTTCCCAGTGTGGGGCAGTCAAACTGGGATGTGCCAAGATTTGAGGGTCTGTGAATTGGGGGGCCATATGTTGGCTCCACTCCAAAGACTGGTGCCCATTTCCCTGGCACCTCAGACTCAGGTACATCCTCTTTTTGCTCAGTGTCAGCTGGGAGTCCCAGCTGCGAAATCTTCAGCCCCTGAGGAGGAGACGGAGGCTTTGCATCTCTCCTGCCATTTTAGTCTGAGACGGGGAGCAGGTGAAGGGGGCGGAGGAGCCCCACAAACCTCAGGCACTCTCCCAGGTGTTTCTATTTGTCAAGGGATCACTGTGTATTATTAGGCTTTGTCTTCCACCTGCTGAAGAGGTATGATATGTTGTCATCATCAATGATATCCCCATTTTATAAAGGCATTGAACCTCAGAGAGGTTAAAGAACCAGCCTAAGGTCACACAGCCAGAATGAGGAAGGGCCAGTATCCCAATCAGTTGTGGTGTCTCTGCCTAGGGCTTCTCACCAAGCAGGCACTGGGGCTGGCATTTGAGTGCAGGAGGGGACCGTCCTAGTCCCACACTTGGGATGTATGACAGATATTGAAAGCAAGGGGAAGGCTTGAAAAGGATGGTCTCCTAGGAGGCTGGCCTCTGCTGAGGCTGTGTGTGTGTGTGCGCATGCATGTGTGTGGCTGGCAGTATTTGCTGTCTGGGTGGGAAGGGCTGGGTGGTTGCCGCTCTCATCCATGTCTCGATTCCTAGGAAATGCTCAGCTGTTTTCCTGGAGAGTTGACTCTGGTCCCTTGTTCTCTACAAAGTCAAAACGAGAGGCTACCAGGGCACTCATCAATTCAGACTTGACCAACCTCTCTGAGACTCCAAGCCAGAAGGTGACTGGTACCTTGGTGGCCCACCAGGTGAGGATAGGCTGCTGCAGAATATCTCGTCCCTAGACCCACTACCCTCGGAGGTCAACCTCCAGTGACCTTCCAGCCATGCTCCAGTCCCTCACTTCAGCCCCACAGGGTACAGCCTGTGTGAATCAGGAGTGGGAGCCCGGGAGTCAGTCTGAATCTCAGCCTGGACTCACAGGAACTGTGACTCTTGGGCAAATGCCTTCATTACTCCTTCTGAGACTTGGTTTCCTCATCTGTTCATTGGGCATGATGCCTTTCCATGGGCAGGTGAATGTGACAGCTTCCGCCTCTTCCCTTCTTTCATCCTTCCTTCCGCATCCCCACCCTCTCCCCCGGCCACTTGGCCACCTAGCTGCTGGGCCCTCCTTTCCCAGAACCCTGCCAGCTGCGGCCTCTGGGCCTCGAAGGAGACAGTGGTTTCCCCATCCTTTCCTGTGGCTTGCCCCAGGGCCAGCTCCCCTGAGAGCAAAGGCCCCAGAGCGGGAGCCTCAGGCCCCACCCTTTACGTAAACACTAGTTGGGCACCAGCGGAGCTCAGGAGGGAAGCGCTCCCAGCTCCTCACCTCCTCCAGCCCCTGCCACTGTAGATTCCACGGGAAGCGCCAGGCAAATCTGGCGCCCTGGCACCCAGGCCGACTCGCTGCTGGAAACAGTCACTTGGAGCCAAACCTCAGGCTGAAGGTAGACGGGACTTAAAAGTCCCTGAGCTGGCCTGTTGGCCTCCCTGCACAGCACCCGGGGCTGCCCCAGAAAGGATGTTTAAATCTCTCATTCAAACACTTCCAATGGTCATGAGAGACATTCATAAGTGCGACCTGTTCGTTTCTTAAAAATAAAGGCAGGAATTCAGTATAACAAAGCAGTGTCAACTTTTGGGGCAGGAGAAATGTGTGTGTTTTATTATGCTTTGCAATGTGCTCTTCTGTATTATTAAAACACCGCTAAATGACACTTTTAAATAGATAAGACTAGGGTCTGGGGTGTAGCTTTGTGGTAGAATGCACGTTGGGCATAAGTGGGACCCTGAGTTCTATCCCCAGCACCAAAATAAAGCAAAATAAATAAGAATATCCTTGTTTCATTGGGAAATTTTAGCAAACACTCAATATAATGGAGAAAATAAGAATCACCAGAATCTCTCCTCTAGAACCAGATCATTGATATGTTGGTTTGTTTCCTTTCAGTTCTTTTTCTAGCATTTATTTTATCATTTTATTCTTTTTACAAAAAATGGAATCATATCGTTGAATAACTTTTCCCCCTTAGCAATATATTTGAACAGTTCTCGGGTCCTTATTTACATTAGCACACATCTTTTCAGGGCTTTTTTTTTTTCCATATAATCATGAAAAAGGTATTTCTAAAAAAACCTTTTTTGTAGTTGTAGAGGGACAGAATACCTTTATTTTATTTGTTTATTTTTATGTGGTGCTGAGGATGGAACCCAGTGCCTCACGAATGCTAGGCAAGCGCTCTGCCACTGGGCCACCACCCCAGACTCAAAAAAGGTATTTTTTAATGGTTAAGATCCATATCAATCTCACTAGGATCATTCCATTTATGTCTTAGTATTTTTTCTTACTTAAAAAGTAATACTGGGGCTGGGGCTGTAGCTCAGTGGTAAAGCACTGGGTTTGATCCTCAGCACCACATAGAAATAAATAAATAAAGATTAAAAAAAAGCAATACACTCTTGGAGAAAACAGATACACAAACAAAAGAACATGAAAAATCCCCGTAGCCTCCCCACTGTGAATTAATTCTGCTAATATTTTAGTTTTTAACATTCTGTCTGCTTTTTCTGTTTATATGTCAATGTGTAAAAATGTCTTGATTTAGAACTTCCAGGTCTACAGAACTGTGAGCGATGAATGTTGTTGTTCATAAATCACCCAGTCTAATTTAAAGTAAAATTGGAAACATACAGTTCATCCTTTTTAATTTAGTTTTCATTATTATTTTGAACCCCACTGGGTTCAATCCTAGTACCAAAAAGAAAAAAAAAATAGAGAGGGAAAGGGAGAGAGAGAGAGAGAGAATAAAGAAAGGAAAGGGGGGGGGGTGGAGCCTTGCCAGTGTATATAATTAATATCTTGTTTTTTTTCTCCTCTTATTTGTCAGTGAATATTTCTCATTAAATATTTTGGCAATTCTAAATTTTTAGTGACTGATATTCCATAATATACATTATAGATTCATCACCTTATAGATTCATTACCTTATTTGGGTATTTTGTTCTGATAAATAAGTCACCTTTAGCTGGGCACAATGGCACATGCCTGTAAATCTCAGTGGCTCTGGAGGCTGAGACAGGAGGATCGCAAGTTCAAAGCCAGCCTCGGCAACAGCAAGGCTGCTAAGCAACTCAGTGAGCCCCTGTCTCTAAATAAAATACAAAATAGGGCTGGGGATGGGGCTCAGTGGTCGAGTACCCCTGGGTTCAATCCCCAGTACCAAAAATAAAATCCACTTTTATGTTCAAAACTTGTCAGAGGAGGAGACCCCACGCTTTCCTCTCTAAGCTGTGGGTGCCACTGAAGCCACCATATTCAGGAGCCGGGATGGTCTGTAGCTTGAAAGCCAGCTCAGGGGCCGAGTTGGTTCTTGCTAACAGAATGCAGCTTTTGTTTTGGCAGCAGGTGTCCCCTGCTTCTCCCACTGTAGGGAAAGTCACAGGTGTGGGTGGGCAGTTCCGGGGGAGGAGTGAAGGTCCTGGTGGAGTGAAGGAAGTGCCGGAGGAGATGGCTAACCCTCAGGAGCCAAGGGAACGCTCGCCCTGGAGAGGCAGGGGCAACTTGTTGGGGCCCATTCATTCCTCCCTCAGGTTCAACCAATGCTTATGAGCCAAGCCACTACCCTGGGCCACATGGTGGGCCAGGCCCTGGCCATGTCTCAGTGTCAACGTGGTCCCTGTTTTTCCAGACCTAAGTCAGCTCTAAATTCTCAAATATCAAGCTTAACCCGGAAAGTTGCCGACAATGGATGATCCTGCAGCCCACACCCCCCAAGATCTCATGCAACAGATATTGAGAGCCTAGAACCCTTCAGTCTCTCCAGGGACTCTGATGAGAGTCCCCAGAGACCATTTGGGGAGGAGAAATATCAGCTGAGGCTCCTGGAGAATGTTTCCTAAGCCAGGCAAGCCTGGAGCCTCTGTCTGCTTAGCATGTGGCTTGAACCTCAGTTGAGACTTAGGCTATGATAATGGGGACACCCGTCAGGCAGACCTGAACCCAAATCTCAACTCCACCCTTCCATAAAGGAAATGAGCTAAACTCTTTTATCCTCAATTTCCTCATCTGTAAAATAGGGGTAATCATATGCTTTCTATATGAAATTAAGTTTTAAAAAATTTGTTCTTTTTAAATATACATGACCTTAGAATGTATTTTGATGTATTATGCATACATGGAGTATAACTTATTCTAAGTAGGAACCCATTCTTGTGGTTGTATGTGATGTGGAATGCCAAAGGCCGTGTATTTTCTATGTTCATATATGAACATAGGAAAGTTATGTCATGGCCGATTCATTCCACTGTCTTTCCTATTCCCATTCCCCCCGCTCCTCTTCATTCCCCTTTGTCTAATCCAATAAACTTCTATTCCACCCACCCTTATTGTGTGTCAGCATCCACATATCAGAACATTCGGTCTTTGGTTTCTTGGGACTGGCTTATTTCACTTCGCCTTATGTCCCCAGATCCATCTATTTACCAGCAAATTTTATAATTTCATTCTTCTTCATGGTCGACTAATATTCCACTGTGTATATATACCACATTTTATTAACCCATTTATCTATCTGAGAAATTAAGTTTTACAGAGCTTAGCAGACAGTTTAGCACTCAATAAATGGTAGATATTGTTATTAATTAAAATTTATTTATCCATTTACATTGCCTCCAGGTACATAATTCCAGCAAGAGACCCGAAACAAGATGTACAAAATGTCTCCCACTCCATGAGGCTCCTGGTGGTGAACGTCCAGTCCTGGTCATCCTCATGCTCGCCACCCTCACATGACTTGACTTCTGACTCATGAGCTCTGCATCTGCACCCTCCCACAACTTTAGAAGTACAATCATAGAATCCAGGGCTCCAAAGTGTGGACCCTTATCCACCCTTAGCACCTGCCCCCGCATGGGAGAGCTCTTCTCAGCTCCTTTGAGATGGAGATGCAGGTGGCATGCAGGTAAGATGAGGAGAAGGAGGACCTGAGGTCCCTACTTTCTGCTCCATGCTTCTGGGGGAGTCCAGGCCTGGCCATCCACCGTCTCCATGCTCAGGGCCAAGCAGCTGCAGAGGCTGCAGGTTGCTCTGAGGTGGGACAGACTATGCAGGGTCACTGTTGGTAATGATGTTTTCAAGTGCTCATGGATGGTGTGGTTGCCATGGTGATGCCCTTGGTTCTGAACAGGCAGTAGCCTCTCTTGAGTTGTGAGTCAGGTTCTGTTTTATTTTTTTAAAAACAAAACCAGGCGCCCTGACCTACGGGAGACAAAGCGGAGCTGCAGGTGGAGGCCACGGCGTCACTGCGGGGGTGTGAATCAGGGGTGCTATGTGCAGTCCTGGGGTCCCCTGATGTCAGCTGGCCCCGCTTGCTGTGGGCCTGGGAGCATCCACAGAGGTAAGCGGGGAGGCCAGACCTCAATCTGTGGCCCAGGAAGTGAACACAATCAGAACCCACTCTCCTGGTTGGAAGCCACTTACTAGAAGGCAGGTCCCATTCCTTAGCTGCAGTCCCAGGACCAAAATGGAACCTCCAGGGACTCTGCCCTGCTCCTCAGACACCGGAGTCTTCAGGGCCCACAGAGGTGGAGCATGCGCTGGCCAGCCTCAGCCAAATGAAGGACAGGGCCTGGCCCAGAGATGACCAGTGCTGAGCTGGCCCACCCACGAGTGTGACACACAGGAGCACCCGCCCCGACGTCCAGGCTGAACCCAGTCATCCCTTTGAGAGGGGCAGGGTCCTGGAAAGACCAGGGAGGCCACAAAAATGTTCTCCCAGGGCCTGAACTTCTGGGGTGGGGCTCCCTTTCCCAGCACTCCACAGGGGAGGGGTAAAGGCAGTAATGACTCGGGCCTCAATGCCGGGCCTTGTGTCACCCTCCAGGGGAATGATACAGGAACCCTCTTCCTTGGCTTGGACACTGTCCCAGCACCTTAGACCTATAGGTGTAGGGGCCAGGAAGCCTGCTCATGTGTCTGGGCTCCCAGAGATTGAGTAGGAGGGATTGATTCCTCCCTCTCCCACAGTCTGATGGCCAGAAGACTTGCCCCCTAACCAACCCTGGACTCCCAGTCCTGCTCCACGTCGGCCTTCGTTATTTCGCGTTATTGATTATAGTGGATAGGTCAGTAGGTGCCGAGCTCTATGTGACTGAGCTCCCACCCCCATCGTAGTGTGGGGTGTGATGTAGTCATAGCACCTTCTCCCAGGGCAGCTGGAGGGTGAAATGCAATCGTATTTGCAGATGTTTCACACAGAACCTGGCCGGCGCAGACAAGCAGAAGTGACTCTTACCAGTGCTGGCTTTTGTTCAGGCCCTTAGCCCATCTTGCCTGGCTAACGGCTACAGTCTCTTGACGTCACTGGTCAATTGCAGTCTTGCTCCTCTCCAATCCATTGTCCATGCCACAGCGGAGTGATTTATCTCAATGCAGTCCCAACCATGTGATTTTCCTCCGTAAAATCTACCGATGGCTCTCATTTGCCTTCAGGGTAACGCTTAGATGGTCAACAAGGTCCCTCAACGTCTAGCCATTGGCTGCCCTCTCCTGCCCCGTATTTCCTCACACGTTCCTGGCCAGAAGCAAGTGTGAGAAGTGTTCTCCAGACACTTCTGATTCTAGCCTCATCTGTACCTTCAGAATTTTTGCCGCATTCTTCCCTTGGTCCAGAGCACCCTTTCTCTTTCTGGGCACCTAGCAAACACCAGCCCCTCCCCTTCAAGAACACATCCTGAAAATTCCCACCATCCTGAAACCTCTCTTCAAGCACAGAGTCCACCACTTCCTCCTCTGAGCCACTTTGGTGCCTTCCATAAAGACAATTACCCATGACACTGCAATGATTGCTGTCCATGCCTGAGACCCTTTCCAGTTTCATGAGGAAGCATGGATTCTAATTTCCATATCCCTGGAACACACGGGATCATCACATCTAGAGATGAGCGTCCCTAGATGAATGAATGAAGACATAGAAGAGGCAACTGAGGCCCAGACAGGAGTAGTGACGTGGCTGACGTGGAGTCGGGAATCCTGGAACTCCAGCGGCTCTGACTCCAGGGACTCTGGACCATTCATTTGTTCCTCAGTCACTTCCAAAGCACCAGTGAGACTCCAGACACTGTGTTGTACCCTGATACAAAGATCCAGGAGCCACCTGGCCCTCAGGAGCCCACAGGCAGATGGAACAGAATGACCATGTCCTTGATTACAAACTGTGACGGAGGGTGTAGAAGGAGCTGCAGGAAATCCAGGGACATGGTGGTGAGAGGAAGCCACTAGCTCGGGCTGAATGTTTGTTTCCCCGTCAAAATTCGTACATTGAGGGGCTGGGATTGTGGTGCAGTGGTAGAGTGCTCGCCTTGTATGCGTGAGACACTGGGTTTGATCCTCAGCATCACATAAATATAAAATAAAGATATTGTGTCCATCTAAAACTAAAATAAATAAATATATATATTTTAAAAAAAATTCGTACATTGAGGTCGGGCACGGTGGCACATACCGTAATCCTAGCCGGCTTGGGAGGCTGAGGCAGGAGGATGGAGAGTTCAAAGCCAGCCTCAGAAATTTTGCAAGGCCCTAAGCAACTCAGTGAGATCCTATCTCTAAATAAAACATAAAAAAGGGCTGGGGATGTGGCTCCATGGTTAAGTACCCCTGGGTTCAAAGACCTGTATGTAAAAATATGTGTGTGTGTGTGCGTGTGTGTGTATCTCATATGTTGAAATCCTTGCCCTCAAGGTGAGGGTATCAAGCGTGGTCTTTGGGAGGTGAGTAGGTTCTGATGGTATTAGGAAGGGGTGGAGCCCTCATGAATGGGATTAGTGCTCTTATGAAAGAGGCTGGAGGGAGACTCCCTTACCCCCTTTGCATATGAAGGCACAGCAAAAATATGGCCATCTATGAACCAGAAAGCAGGCTGTCCTTAGACAGAAGCTGCTGGCACTTGATCTTGGACTTCCAGCCTCCAGAACAGTGAGAAATACCTCTCTGTTGTTTCTAAGCCATCCAGCCTCCAGTAGTTTGTTATAGCAGCTCAGATGGACTGTTCCTGTCTCCAGTCTCCCTCCCCAAGCCCTAGAGGTCAAGTTCCCAAAAGCCACCGAGCCAGGGCAGCGATGCTGTAGGTGCTGTCAACACAGGTGAACAGGGGCGCGCGCACATACACACACACACACACAACAGGTGACCTGAGTATGCTTTGCCCCGTGGAGCAGGGCAGGTGCCACATGACACTGCTGAGCCTCTAAGCAGTCAGGCATAAGGTTGTGAGAGCAGACAGCAGAGTCCTGGCCAACACCTATCCCACATAGGCCCTGCGCATAGTGGGTGTCTTGAGCCTCTCCAGGCAGGGCCCACAGACAAGGTGGATATGGTTTCCTTCCCCATTTTCAGATGGAAAAAAAAAATGACACCTAGATTTCAATGACTTTCCCAAACCCTCTGCCGGGTCAGGGGAGGTACCGGAAGCTGAGTCTGCCACTCCTGAGCGCAATCGGGCCTGGAGTCTGTGCCAGGCCTTCTGCTGAGCACCAGGGATGCCAAGGTCCCTGCCTCTCGTGGGAGACGGATGACTACCTAGGGACAAGAGCACAGTTTGGCCCTTCAGACTGAATCAGGATGGAGCCGCCATCCCCGTGGGCTCTAGAGCTGGCTCCTCAGTGCCACACCTTCTGTTGGATCCCAAACGTCAGCTATGTCAAGTCAGCCTCCCGCTCAGACCCTCCCAACACATCCACCCATCAAGTCCAGACCCTGCGCAGAACCCCAGGGACCACACCTCCTCCTTATCCAGCCCTTTCCTTATCTCCTTCCTCTGAGTCCCACCCTCCTCGGGCGGGCCTCCCTGCTATGCCTGGAGCGAGACAAGGTCCTCCAATGGCGACCTTTGCTCTTCCCTTCCCTCTCTCCAGGACACTATCTCCAGATGGGCCCATGGCCAACTCCCTCTCTCCGCTCAGGTCCTGCCTCTTCGTAGAGGCCATGTCTGTCCACGGTGCCCAAAGAGTGGCCCTGTCAGGCCTGGCGACATTGCTTCAAGGCGCTGTCTCTGTAGTAGGCCCGGCGACATCCAGCGCCTAGTTGACCACTCGCCCATGACCCACCCTCCTCCCAGCACCTACAAGTAGAAACCTGCCCAGTTGTTTCACGACTGCATCCTAGGAGCCAAGGGTAGTGCCTGGCGCACAGTAGGAACGCAGTCCTTTTTGGTGACATATTGGATGGATGACCCCTCCGTTTCCTCCCCTTTATAATGATCCTACAGCCAGGTGTTGAGAGTGGAAGCCGCTCAGCCTGGAGGCTTGGTTGGTGCATAACTAGATCCTGCTGTGGTTGTTGTCGCATGGTTGTTACTTTGTTTCCACTGTCCCATGGGGGAGACAAGGTGGGAATAAATCCCTCTGCTCCAGCCTGGGGCCCAGCAGCAGCCTTTCCACGAGCAGAGCCCACAGCTCTTGCGGGCCCCATCTGCCAAGGTCATCGTCAAAGTCTGGGTCTGATGGTCAGGAGCCCCCCAGTCCCCCCTGGGCTGAGGGCCTTGGGCAGAGCCCAGATCAGGCTACAGAAACCTGTGATTACCCCCAGCAGCAGGCCCCACATCAAAGCCAATCTCAGAGGGGCGAGGCCTCAAGATAAATGGAAGATTAAAGAAGGCTTGGTCCCCACAGGCCACAGGGAGCGGCGGCCGGCTGCCGGCCACAGACGGGAGGCCCCAACACAGCCCTGGCTGCCGCCATCTTGGGGGGCAAGATGAGGAGGTGTCCAAGCCCGAGCAAGGGGAGCGAGGAAGGGTACCCTTCGGGGACCCTGGTTGGGTCTGGGTTCCCATGACTATATTTTAGCCAGCCCTCCAATCCCTGCCTCCTTCTTAACCCTTTCCCCTCCAGGCGGCCTCCAAGAGGCTCAGCCCAGGAACCTGGGCCTCTCTTCAAGAGACTTTGTTTGGTCATTGGGTTTGGTCATTGGGGTTTGCTCCCCCCAGCAAGGGAGCCTGTAATGACGACCTCCTGGCCTCAGCCTTCCTCCCCAGGGAAGGTCTGTAATTAGTGCAGAAGGCGAGGTTGGTGAAGCTCAGACAATGTCATTTGAACCAGGATGAGACAGGGCTCAATTGCTAGTCTGCACATTTTTTTTTTCTGGTACCATTTCATATACAAAATTCTGGCAAGCTTAACCCTTTCCTGGTTGGGCCCTGAGCTGGGGCTTCAGCCTGGCATCCTATCTGCCCCTGGGCCCCATCTGCGTCATTCTTGATTCCCCCAAACCCCAATTCAGGTGAGTCATAGATTTGGACTTACCTAACATCTGCCAATCAATCATCCAGGGAGCTTTGGCTTGGTGCCAAGCACCAAAGGGAAGGGACCCAAGGGACTGTCTCCCTTCCTGTCAGCAAGAAGATTCCAGTCCTCTGGGCAGTGAAGGAATGCACACTAGACACAGGAGCAGGGCAGGAAGAATCAGATGATGAGGATCAGTGTAAGGCAGAGAAGGGAGCTAGGTGAGGATGGGCATGTGGAAGACTGGCATAAATGTGTCCAGGGAGCCATCTTTCTGGAGCAGGGTTTTTCTGTAGTCAGGGCTTGAGGCTGAACTCACAGGGAAAGGATAGGCAGGAAAAGCCAGCCCCAGGAGGGGACTGACATCAGAGCAATTGTGACAGGCAGAGGTTGTCCCTTTCTCCCTCATATTCTGAATCACTTATTCTGAATCCCAGAACTACTGTTCATCTCACACTGAGCTACAACCTGTTGGATAACAGAGCTGAGTTCCCCCACTGGGCTGGGTACAGCAGCCCTGAGCAGGTACACAAAAGATACTCAATAAATAAACAGTTGACCTGAAATGACAATATGGAAGGAATGGAGAATATACACAGACACACACACACACACACACACACACACACACAGAGTTTCCCAGAGGGATGCAAATTCTAACCCCAGATCCCTTGCAAATCATATCACAATCTCCCTAATATATAAAGAGTTTCTAGAAATCAACAACACCAACCACCAATTTTAAAAGGATCAAAGAATATGAATAGAGTCTACAGAAAAGGAAACATAAATTGTTTAGCTGTAAAAAGGTACTCACTCCTAATGAAGGAAAAAGCAAATTAAAAATACACTGGAGGCGCTGGGGCTATGGCTCAGTGATAGAGCGCTTCCCTTGTACGTGTGAGGCACTGGATTCGATCCTCGGCACCACATAAAAACAAATAAATAAAAAAATACACTGGAAACTATTTCTTATCCAGCAGAGTAGAAAAATGTAAAAGTTCAATAATATCCTCAGTTTGAGAGAGTACAGAATCCGCCCATTTCTGGTAGGGCTATAAATTGGTACAAGCTATTTGAGCATATTTTTTTATCATATATATATATATATATATATATATATATATATATATATATATATTTACTTGAGCATATCTTTCAGCATTACAAAAGCATGTTTCCTTTGGCTCAGCAGTCCTTCCTCTGAGAATTCATCCTACAGCTACACAGCATTTGGACAAGACCATCACTGTGGCATTGTTCTTCATAGTAAAGAACCAGAAACCATTCAAGTGTCCATCAACAGGAGACAGGTAAATAAATTACAGAGCATTCATACAATGGGTGGCTATGCAGGTATTGAGAAAAGAAAAAAAAAGAATGAGGAAGTTCTATATGTACTAATACCAGATGATCTCCAAGATAAATTAAGTGAAAACAAAACCATGCAGAACAGTGTGTATAATACCCTCCTTTTCAGTTAAAAAGAGAGAGAAGAAATATTACATGTTTAAATATTAAACGAGCGTGCACACACACACACACAGCAAAGAAGGATACCCAAGAAAGTAATAAAATTGATTATATGTTGGTGGAAGGGTGGGAGCTTAGTGGTTAGGATATAAGATGTAGAGAGGAAAGGATCACTTCTCATTATATTTCCTTGCTATTTTTTGAGTCAGTGAATGCATTATCTATTTTTAAAATATTTTAAAAAATAGACTACCTCTACTCAGGACTGGGAATACTGGGGTCTTCCCAAGTAGCTGGGTCAAGGTGATTCTACCTTGGTTCACTACCTCTCTGTCACTTTTCCTTCTTTTTCTTGTCAAGTTTTCCTGAGACCCTAGATTCCCATGAAGTACATACTTTTCCAAATCATGCCTGCAGAGTATGGACTAGGAAATCAGACCAATATGCTGTGTGACCTTGGGCAAGTTACTTCATCTTTCTGAGCCTTAGGTAAATGGTAATCTTAGTACCAGGATTGTGGTGAGGCATAACAGAAAACTCATAGAAAGTGCTTAACACAGATTCCACGACATGATAAGCGCCGCATTGAATAGATGCACCCGACTCACGGCTCATATTATTTACCACTGTTTTTATTGGATTGCTAGTTGTTGTCTTACTGATTTATTGG